GTCACAAAATTCAGGTCAACTGGCTTGATTAATGAGAATTTGACAAGACTGGACGCTACGATGACTCAAAAACCCAAACAGAAAAACAACTGTAACAGACGCCGGCGATACCGACGCGCGGGAGAACGGCGATTCAAAAAGGTAAACCAACCCAACCGAAAACTTCACCAAGAAACCTGAATAACGGAAGTAGTAAACAAAAAACAAATTCGCAGTTTCTCAGACAATGAAGAATCGCTTGGTCAACAGCAAATGTGAAGAGCAACATCTCAAGTTTCCCAAGCATCACAACATGCACTTGACTCCTAAGAAGACAAAAATCATAGCCATCTCTTGCGTGAAAACGTTTCTAACAAAGTGCACTTATGGAGGAAACGAAAACAATGGCTCATTGAGAAAACAACACTATCAACGTTGGAGGAAAGCGAAGAACCGATGGGTTTACGAGATGGCTCACGACCGCCCCTCCCACACCCCAATCAATACCGCCGCCAATATCTACGAAAAGGACGTCGCGGCGGTTCTACAAAAAAAGACTGCCGCAATTTTCGAAAATGTTATCGATTTACTACAGAAGTCAAACCTTTTACTACTGAAATGGGTAAAAACTACGATTCCACTGTATGCAACCATACGAAAAGGCCATCCCACTATAGCTCAGAACACTTTAATAGTTTTGAAATAGTGCAAATGACCTAACGAATTCCCTTCGTGCTTGGAAACCAATTAAAAGGTCAAAAAAGGAAAAAAAACGTAAAAACTATTACATCACAACAAATCAGGAAAAACAATTAAATTGAAAAAATTGAATTGAAAGGGAAACTAAAGTTGTCCTTTCATGGTGATTCTAGAAAACTTGCTGTATAATATTTTTCAAAAGGATTAAGCTCACCGAAAACAACCTATGAAAAAAAGAAGTTCAGAAAACCTGGAACGAGGGCCAAAATTTTTGAAAGCCGTGAAAATAGAGTAAAAAACCGATCTGCTTAAAATAATCTGTGAAATCAATTTCATGGCGTAGAACAATTTCAACGAAGGCGTACATCTGCCAGAATAAAATAAAATAGGAATAGCGTAAAATAAAATAGGAATGGAACAGAAAGCTATTTTCCTCACCGATGAATAGCCTTGATAGGGGCACAAGGAGGTAAATCATGCCTCCTATGTATACGGATTATGCGGGCAGAATAGACACGTTGCATACAACAATCACAGAAGGGTCAACAACAGAATAAGACCTAATATAAACATGTGAAGAGCATATTGCACGCACATCTGCTTGGACCGGATGTATAGCCGTAAGAAGGACATCACTTACAGCTAAGAAAGGTCCGCTATGTCTATGAAAACGGCAGACATCACAAGTAGGGAGCCAGACGTGATTTGTTTCAAGTCTGACACCTCCCGCAACACCCACACCTCATACACACACACACACACAGCGTCGAGGTCGCACCACTCAGGCGAAATTCGATTTCGCGCGCCAATCAAAAGAATTTGAAAAAAGGGCGTCGGCCGGCTACTATGGCTGCATATTTAGCGAATCTCTGGCTAACTAAACTGTTTGACTCATGATTCAGTTGCCAAGTGACAATGAGAAAGGCTTCGAAAAATGTTCTGAAAGTTTTTTTTGTTGCCAATCCTCTCCAAGCAAAGAGCTGACGAGAGTAAACAAACAAAAACAGAATACCAGGAATTCCAGAATAAAGGTTCGCAAAAGTAAAGCTCCGGAATTTGAAAAAAAAAGATCGAAACCGTTCTATCCCTGGCTTCAGCATCAGATAACCCTTCGAGCAAGTTGGTTTTAAAACTCAGCATTCCCTACTTCAGGCACAACAGAACCCCCGGAAAAAATTAAAAATTCGAGATGTAAAAATATTAAAAAATCTCAAAAATATTCATGCAGACACCAGAAGATGGGAACCTCATCGAAACCTCCAGAAAATTGGTGAAAGAGAAGACTTACTTTACATCGAGCACTGTCCGATAACTTGGTGAACAAAATTCAAGTACAGTTCCAGTGGTACTGGTATCAGACGGAGAAATTTCAATAAGTTTCCAATCAATTCTGATTGAATCGTCTTCCGCAGAAACATGACGACCAGTTCCAACTCAATGAGGTTGAGTATGACAATCTACACTGCTGCCATGTTTCCGCATCTACACCGTCGCATCAGGTATAACTATGCATAATGACCACAATGAATACCATAAAGTTACAACTGAAACCATAACCGAGTCCTAAGTCAAATTATGATCGTTCTAAGGCATATTTCTGTGACTCTGAAAGCACGCGAATAAAGGCAGTCTCATAGGAACGAACTAATTAGTTGATAGGAATGTATACGAGGGCTGTTTCTGGTCAAAGACCAATGAGAACTAATGCGACGACGTGCGAGGGGGAATCGATGAAGAGGGAATCGCCTGCACAGCAACGGCCACGCCTTCTGCCGATGGCATAGAGAAGAAACGAGTCATAAAAAACAAAAATAATGGATAGTATTGAGCAATACTAGTGAGCACAGGACAGGAAGAGACAGCTGCATAGGTTTATTGCGCTGTTAAGTCGACGTCACTGGACTTTCGATCGAAAACAGTCCAGCAGACAAAGGCAACCGCTGAACTCTTCGCCTTGCTCAGAAGGGGAAACAACCGAAAAAAGGAAAACTTCACCTCAACCACGTTTCTCTGCATGTCTTCATTCATCAGCCTACTACCTCATGAANCGCCTTCTGCCGATGGCATAGAGAAGAAACGAGTCATAAAAAACAAAAATAATGGATAGTATTGAGCAATACTAGTGAACACAGGACAGGAAGAGACAGCTGCATAGGTTTATTGCGCTGTTGAGACGACGTCATTGGACTTTCGATCGAAAACAGTCCAGCAGACAAAGGCAACCGCTGAACTCTTTGCCTTGCACATAAGGGAAACAACTAAAAAAGAAATACTCTACCTCAACCATGCTTCTCTGCATGTCTTCATTCATCAGCCTACTACCTCATGAAATCTTCGCCAATATTTGAATTCGCTATTAGAAGCAGAAAGAGATCGTGGTCAGATTAAACTAATTTCGAGCTGGGAAGTGGTCCCTAAGCTATGCGTAAGGTGGCTTTGCTGCTTTGTCCGTCCAGGGAAAGGAGCGTAGATGAACTTCTGGAAATCAGCGTAGATGTACTCCTCAAGGAGCACATCAAATCTTAGCAAAACTACGCCAGTCTACATTGCAGCTCTTGGAAGTCTTCAAATCATTTGATAAACCAAATAGGTTGCTTTTTTAATAAGAAAATAGGAGTTGGTAAATAAGAAATTTTCATAAAAGAAAGGTTAGTCATACACACGGAGCAACTCCCACTTCAAAAGGCAAGTGCATCGAGGTCGTCACACCTTTCCTTTGAAGTTCTATCATGATAAACTACTACGAAAGACCATACATTATAGCCCAGCGAACCAGCAAATCACTATCTGTAACACGCAGTCAGAAGGATTTCCAATTTACAGCTGGAGAAACGTTCACCACTAGAACCGTTCCAGCCAAAGAAGATTGATTCGTGATACCTATTCAACTTTGAAAAAGATCAGTTCCTGAAAGGTCATCCCAGAAAACGATGTAGTGAGAAAGGAACTATCGATTGGAAACATAATGCAGAGTAGCGCGAATTATAATGGAATGTACTGTCCATTCCGGTTTTAACGGCCCAGATAGTGCACACTCGATAAACACAGTAGTAAATGTTCCACTGTCCACCTGGCCCCTGCATACAATACAGCCTGGTGTCGTGTCGAACTGCAAAAGGTATCCCTAAAGAAGAAGAGAACTAGAAATTATACCATCACTTTACTGCACAGCACACTACATAATTAGGACAGCAAGGATTGAAAATTTCACAAAATCGATTTATTTTTGTCAAGTAGCCTTAAACACAAAGACCTACTGTGGCCCTTGCGCTCATCCCAAACTTTTGCAGACCACTCTGAGCTCGAGTGTTGCAGAAACTACATAATCTACGAGCTAGTTCTCTTTTGAGAATTTGTAGCGATCGAATAGGTAAAGTAAATGAAATACGATAGAAAATAGTATACATCCTCAAAAAGTTATCACATTTCACGGAAGCAAACGCAGGAGGGAAGCGCCTAGCGTGCAGCCTCTAAAAACCACCACCTTCTCGAATGTTCTATGGCGAAAAAGGGCGCCCACTCTTCGTTGCAACCTCTATTGCCAGCTGATTTTACATTTCAGGCAATAGTTCCAAGGTATTGTATACGAATCCTTTTGGAAAAAAGCAAAAATAAGCGAATAGGAAGCAAAAATGGACAAGTTACATGTGCCAACAAGATTGCGCAGTAATCTACGAAACGTTGCAGAGTGCTCTGCCTCACGTAATTTCGCGGACCGCCTCAGTTTGCGGGCTTTACAACGTCGAAACGCGACACTCTCCCTCGCTAGCTGATGCATAAGATAAATGATATAATGCTCGCGGATCGACATATAATACTGGTGAAAGCGGAAGCTAAATAGGAGGGAAGTACTACTTTAACGTGGGTTGAAAGTCATAGGAGTACGAAATTCCTCAAATCAGCAAGAAAGTAAGAACTATGTACTCAAGTAACCAATAGAATCCGTATCGATTTTCAAGAAAAGTCTGAATTCCCTCCTGCTATTTATACAAACGATGAGCGACGTTGAAAAAAATTGTTCCTATCATATGTCGACAGTGGCAACATCTAGTGACGCGCCGCTTGATCAAATACAGACCCAAAGCAGACACTCCTCCATCTACGCTTTGAAAGTTGCTAGTGAAATTGAAGTATCATACTGCAAGCGTTTGTCACCACAAATATTTATACGAATTTTAATTTACTCTACAGATTATTCCATAGAAGCTCCCAAGGTTAGTAGCGCCTGGCACCGCCATTAGTAGTATGTAATCGACAGACAGCTGTACCACACAGTACTACTTCGGGATTCCGCAAAGAATTCAGGACTCAATGATTAATTAATGGCTGGCTTGTGCACATCGATCAACTCACTTCAAAGAGATCGTGGATTAGAAGATATTAAATTGAAGAATGGCCAGAGGTGCTATCGTGAAAATGAAAGTCCATGGGACAATTTTAATCGCGGGTATGCAAGCGACAAAATCGTAAATCGCCGAGACACTATTTCCAAGGACGACCGGTTGCCGAATATGGCTCGAGGTCGACTGAAGTGCGAGGAAGGTTTGCAACTGCGCCCTATCCTCCCCGGTAATGGCGACATCTGAGTGCATTGCACAGTTATTGATTAGATGTGCTAAAGCAACTAGTGGGAAGTTCGTACAACTACGTTGTCAGCTCAAAAAGTATAAATGGCACGGTAGGCCATATCAAAGGATCTATTAACAACCAGGATCTGCACAACTGAATAGTATCCCTACTATTAAGTTAACCCTACTATTATTTCAGACAGAATCTACGGTCTAATCAATATGACAGGATATATTTCTAATTTCTGACTTCGGGGAAAGATCTGCCGGAGCCCGAGGAATGGACACAGACAGACCGCAATCTAATACACACAGAAAGCCAAGATCCACATCTAACTCATCACTTACAATTTAAATTATATTTTAGCACTCGATAAGACTCGTTTTTTTAAATCGACCCATCACGCTTCACGTTAGAATTGTCCTTTCCCTTTCCTCTCTTTTTTTCGTTAGCCCCTAGCCCTAACGTACTCCGTGTCTAACAAAAAACACTGCTTGTTTGAGCGGGCGACGGAACCATGCACTTTTTTCACTTGGGCAAACGTAGCTTCAACGTTACTCACAGGTTTTCACACTCACTCGTTTTCTCCGTGTTGAACAAGTTGGCATTCCACTTCGCTAAAGGATCTACGCAGTACTAAATTCCCATGGACAAAAGCCGAATTGTTCTTTCTAGAGTTTTCTATTAAACTATCTTTTCAAGGAGATTTCAAGAATACTAAACTTATCGAAGCAAATAATCTCTGCTTTCCATGACAACTATTTTAGGGAAACGAGGGGGAAGGTGGATCAATACCAAACCATGTTCCTGCGTTCTCTAATCTCCTGGATGAAGTTACGGCTGGATCCAGTCAATCTGTATCCAACCCCCGTCGCGTACAGTTCGGGTCAGTAGTCTGCTACAATCTGTAAATGCGTTCTTATCGACTGGACGTTGATGGTGATTGCAGTGGAATCAATGGAGTGAGTCAATCCCGTAGAGACAGGAATGCAGCAATAATGAAAAGAAAAAATCTGTTGGCTACTGAACTGAGCGAACGGCTATCAGTACGGCCATTCCTTGAACACTCGTTAGCTACGTCAATTTATCTGTGATAGCCATCTGGCAAAATTAATTGATCGTTAGGAAGGTGCANAAAGTAATGATTATGATGAAATGTAGACGGGTAATCTATTAGTAAAGGTAAAGAACTATGTAGATTGAAGTCGGTACCGAAGCCTGATACATGATTTAGACAACAACAAGATGGAGATGGTTTGGCTAACAGCAATTTCTTTTCTTTTTTCGAAGCTTGAACACTAGAGAAAAGCACAGGAGCTCTGGTTAGAATTCGTTCTGAAGGGTTTTTTACTCTCAAAAAAAGGTCACTTGGCAAAACATAGGGTGCCAGCTCATTTGGTGTCAGATTGTCACCATTAAGTTTTCCAGTAAATTTCTTAGCCATTACTCCAAAGGGATATATAAAGTAATGTGGGAGGTGCAAAGAAGATGTACGCAAGTTACATCTCGAAACTGCTTTAGAAAAACGTGGTCCTTAGACAAAGACGGATAAACTGACATCTAGAGGTACCAGCGTTGAAAATGGAGATCATATTCATAGCCAGGACATAAATAGCCTCGAGAGGTGAAGTTTCAGCAAAACGTTCAACTTTTTATGTACAGTAGTTCAGCCGTACCACCAAGTTTATAGCGCATCCTATCGGAAAAGAATTAGATTTACTCCTTATAAAAATAATACTACCACAATGCTTTGCAGTTGTAAGTGTTTGCAGTACCTTGAATTTCCCCCAAGTGGAGGAAGTACAAAGAGATGAAGATACAGAGAAATGTTTTTGGAAGGGGAATTCTCGAAACAGAAGTCTATAGAATATAGTATTACAAACAGACCGATGTTATATGGTGTGGGAAGCGGTCAAGTATTGCTCTATCTTCCGGGCGCCTGCGATGAAATAAAGATAAGGCAATGTATACATGTTGCCGCCCGCTACACTTGTTGATAAATGAGTGATTACACGTATAGATAAAGGATTTAAGTTTTAGCTGGAAAAGGGCACCTACCAGGTGTATGATGATATCGAGAATGAACTAGTAAAAACGTACCCATCAGCGAGCAAAACACCGCGCCAACTTTGAAGTGGCATAGGTTTCCAACTAGCTACACGTCCTTTAATAATGTCTGTGCAGGACCATCGACTTAAATTTCTCTGCACTTCCTTTATAATGTTTCCTCGTTCCCTTTCCCCGCGTACGTCTCAAAATCTTATCTTCTAATTGAAACAAGGCATTTTTGGAGCTAGAGAAGAAATATTCTTCAAGGTGAATTGTCTACTTTGTTATAGCAAGAATGTTGAGAAGCACGTTAAGGATTAAGGGCAGCAAACCCATCATGTTTTGTACTCCCGGATATCTGGTAGAAGGATTAGGTTGCCTGGTGGGTTCACAGTCATAGAAAGATCTTCAGCCTCTGGTAGGATTCTGGTGCACGGCTCATCCCAAAAGTTATCGCAGATTGAGGCGAGGTGCCGGAATAGCACAACACAACGTAAACGACCATACCAGAGAGGAAAGGCTACCGAAAGTGGTTAATGGCTTTCAAGCTTTTCCTTACAGGACCACATTTCCAGCCGCGTACGACGCCAGAGAAGATCATTCCTTTCGTGTCGCACGACGTAAGACGGTCGGTATATCTCCTGTTTGGTATGGTTGACATCTCGTAGATCTTACTCGTGTCTTTGTGAATCCGTGTTCCTCGTGTTTTTTTTGGGTTGTTGTCTTTCGGTTTGCTGGGCATCGTCATATTTAACAACATAATTATTCCTTCGACTATTATGCCCATTCATTCCTAACCTTTCAGGTTCGGCGAGGACTCCAGTAGCCACGCTGTTTCCCTTTCGCATGCTGAACTTTAATAGTTTGCCTAAATCCGGTCGCCGTTAAATGGCGTCGGATGGTATGCGGCTGACGATAATCACTTCTTTTTCGGCACTTAGTGCAAATGGCTACAGTTGAGGGAACCACCCCAACAATCAAAGTCTAATGTACACATGGATGTACTGAAAAATGGTGAGATTTCAAAACTTCTGAAGCACCTTCTTTCAAAGGCTTCAGAAAATCTCCTTAGCTTCATCTCTCTTTGATATACCTCGACGAAAAGAAATCCCGGGTTTCGAATTCCTAGATATTTGTGTTTACCAGGCATTTACTAACTAGATAAAGGTCAAACACATCACTGTACTATTGTAGTGTATAACTAACTATAACTGTACTATAGCATTATTGTAGTGAGTACTGTTTATAGTGTGAGTATTGCGTTACTTCTTATGAACATTAGATAGGTATCGATCTCGAATAGTGGAAATGCGGAATAGACGCTCGGGTACGCGGAGCAAGAAATCGATACGCACCTGAGCTTTTGTCTAGCGGCAGGCTCCTACTATCACCGTTTCCACCTTTCGCGACCAGCTGGATCAATTCCAGTGCCGTTAGTGGAACCCACGATCCCCACGTTCCATGGGTCCACTTTTTCTTGGTTCTCCATCTATGAGAAATAACCGTTACGGAGGGTAAATTAAAATGTGGTATGGGTACTTTACATTTCAAACACTATGAGTCCCAAAGCATCCTTCTGTGCTGGCAAAGCGTTTAGGAGTCTATGCAGTACATTCTTCTTTTAGGCATTATTATGGGACCGTTTTATCTGGCAGTGCAGTTCCAGTCAAAGAAAAAGCTTACTAACTCCAAAATGCTTCATGTTTTCGGGAACTCTGCATGCATGCCCAGTGGAGCGGTGCATAGCAAAAGAGAGGAAGTATTTTGAAGTAAAGAATGTGATGAAGATCAGAGGCTGGATTTAGAATTCGAAGAAGAGGATCCAGACGCGGAATGTCGATGGTATGAAGAACCAGATGGGTGTCCACAAAAAAAGACTGGCAAAAGGAGGAAAGAATGGCAGACTGATAGTCAGACCTACACGCACATTGTAACCTAGAAAGGCCGGTTATATTGCCTACCTGAAGGAGGTAAAAAATGAGTACTCCCGGTTCAGCTTCGAAACAAAAACAAAAAGGAGCTGTGAACCTATAGAAAGGAAGGCGTCAGGCCTAGCTCACCTCTGCAGAAGTACTTCGAGGCTTCTATGACTGAAGGCCAATGATACTGTTGAATCACCACTCATCGGTTATATACAGTCGGATACTGCATCACATAAGAGATATGAAAGCTGCGCTTGGTGATCAGATCATTCTCTTAGAGTCAGAAATACTTATAATTCGTTATGAAGGTAGTTTGTCACAACTCTGTAACATACCAAGCGCAGAAACGGCAATCAGTAGGGGTTTTGAGCCGAGGAGTTTTCCTGTAACCAGAAGAAGAACTAACGGAAGAGACTTCTAGTGGTTGCGCAGCTTTCAAACAGTATCGAAAACGGCTAGCTGGATAATTCTGATCTTCGTTGTCGTGGAAAAGAGTCGGTTGATGACGGAGACTACAAATGGTTGAACAAAGTAGTAATACAGGGTTTACGAAAAAGGTGCTACGAAATAGAAAGGCAACTGCTGTGGTCAGAAATGATTATTTTGTATGGAGGAATCCTTAGTTGATGAGTAAGATACCGAAGTGACAAAACTTGTGCCATAACCCATAGTGTTCCACAAAACGGTGCCGGTTGATGTGAAGGGCAAGATCATTTCGATGATTACCTCTTTTGATTTTTGTCAAAGAGAGGGGAAGACTGGCCAATCGATGTGATCCTTAGCTCCATGCAGTCAGAGGGGGTGGCATGTGTAATCATCAGAGCGTCCGATAATGAATGACTATTTTAAGCACCAAAATTAGAAAGATTCTATGCAAACAGAACTATTGACATGGCTTTGACATAACATACTCAAAATTCGAATCGTAAGGTGGAGGTGGAGGTGGAGAATGGTATTGTCCTGGTGTTTTGGAAAGGGTGCTTACATAAAGTAATTGAGTAATTCACTTTTAATTTAACTTATTGATTTATTGATTGAAGAAACAAGAAAATATTTGACCCTATTGTTTAATCTGATGTGGTAGTTGAGATTAAGCCTTGAAAAACAAACAAAACGATACTCGAGGGATTGTTCAAAGGAGCAAAGAATCGCTCAGTTTGAAGAAACCTGGGATATCGGTTGGATTTATCCTTAAGTGCAAAGTGGCCGTCATTCGACAAAGAGGGCACGCCATTTCTTTGGGATTCTCTTCTCCTCCTCATGACTCAAGATTTATCGCCTAGTGCCCACTTCTTCTAATCAAGGTGCTCGTTAGAGCAGCTATCGTAAACCCTGGGGATTTCCCAAGTGTTGCATAACTTCACTTACTTGGCCGACAACTGAACAAGTCGGACAATTAGGGGCGGAGACGACAGTCCATGTGGCGTCGGTGGCGGAGCTGGCGAAGACAGTCGTGGTAACGGCGGCAAGGGCTTGCTATCTTTGAAGGGACTTGTGACGTCACTAATCAAATTATCGCTTATCTATCCTTGCCACGTTGCTCTCCCCGTCGTCCAACATGTCTAACACGTTTACGTTTGTACTGCCATGACAACTTCATTCCTTACTTGTAAATTCTTGTCCTAACAAGAGTTTACGTGGTGATTCTGATCGCCTTCGGGAAAAAGTCATCTCCTCCTTTTGGGAACCCCACACTGCTGCTTAGTCCTTCTTTGCCTTTTTTAAGGCTGATTTTTCTTCCAAATTTCTTTCATCCATCGAAACTAAAATGAACGTCGTACATCCCTCAATTGGATGCATGGGTGAGTGGGTGTAGCCTATCTCCTGTCCAATTATTGCGAAGGGGTGCCTGTTGATCGACAGTGAAAATTCTGTCTTCTTTGCCTTTAATGTCATAACTGGCCATCGGTAATTAGGATGCGCAGAAACTGGATCGGCTGAGAATCTTCCGCGCCTAGCTCATAAATCTTGATGGTTTCCAAGAAACGAATGAAGGGGCCATGGTTCTAGGGACAACTGGTATTCTTTCTCCTAGATTTGATACCATGATATTTATTCTTATCAATCTAATGATTTTCGAATAAATTGATACTGGCGGATGTGCGGGCAGCAGTATCTATACTCTTGGAGTTGATCAATCGGTTCTAAACTCGGAGAGGATAAATGCATTGGTTTGAACATTGAATGGCCATCACTGCAAGTTAGCGGGCCATCAAATAGGCCATATATGTATTCATGATGCCTCTACGATTCCGAATGACAGTTGGATGCAGGGATGCATCACAAAATGGGACGCCAAAAGAAGTTATCCTTCATCTTTGGTCACCTTCATCCTCTGTGAGGCAGAAGACGAGGCAAAACTTTCTCACACATAAACAGCACAATCCAGGGATCAAATCCCAAAACTGATCATCAGATCATCAATTTAATGACCTATGGGCTGGATATGTGATACCCGTCCATGAAGCGATGGTGGCTTTGTCCAATAATTTAGATGGGGTTAGTCACAGAAGTAAGCCAAATGCGCATATAGATACCTCACCAGGAGTTCGAATAAAATTGAAATCTTAGTGCATTTCAGATTGAATATGGATATCAAGTCATATGAAGTTGTTAGCAATGGATGCGACCAAATAGATGCGAACGAAACGATTCATGCTCGAGGAATTCATTCCTATAAGCAAGCAAAGCACTATGTTTGGTGTGGGGAGAGTCTTGAATGGAAGGTTCAAGGTTGAATGGAAACAGGTTGAAATCGTTGCGACTGGAAGGAAGCATAATGCTTGCCAACTAGGCAGCCGTCGGGGGCGAAAATCAACAAAGGCACGCGATCCTGCATCACCACACAGCCGTCGCGAAACACTTGTACTTGAAACGTGGGAGCGATAGATGAATGGCTATGGAGAGAGCGGAGAGTCGATGAGAGTCCAAGATCGAGAATGGGAAAGTAGAAGGGATAAAACAACAAAAAACAAGCGCACAAAAACATTACCTTCGAATTTCGGGTTGGTCGGGCGCCAAGAGACAGGGCGACTGTGCGTCTATTACTCTGTGGGAGGTTCAATAAGTCACAGGGTCAACAGGCTGCATTACTTCCTACTGGGTAGATCACGTTGTAGTTGTGATTTCCCAATTTACAGATAGGAAATCGTAATAATAAGAGCTGCTTCATTGCAGGAAAGGTTTAATTGTTTGCTTTTGTATTTAAAGGTGGTAGACTGGCAAGTAGTCATGCAATTGCGCTTGCTTTGCCAGAAGATCAAATCTTCACATTGTTGTCCGCATCGTTCGCCCTTAAATGTATTGGGTTGCCGGAGAAGCGAAGTCTGTCTAGAAGAATAGAAACCGTTATTTGGACTTCAACAACCTCTCATGAGGCATTGTTTAGGTTGACTACGTTTGATCGCATGAAAGAGGACACCGGCTTAACGCCAAAGTATTGGTCGACACCAGCTTCGTCTCATTTTGATTCCCGGAGCAGAAGGTGGGTCATCAGTGCTTCCATTTATGCATGCTCCTCACCAAAACTGTGCACAGCCTACGTTTTTATTTTCGATACCACTTTCCACACAGTACTTGGCATTCTCTTTCTTTTTTCGAGTTCCAAAGTTGCAGTTTTGAACTGTTAAAGAAAGGCTTCGGTTTAAGTAGAGTAGATAGGAAGTGTGATGAAAATAGTGTTTGAGCGGGTAAAAAAGTGTAATAATACCATTAGTGCTACATGTAAGTCATTTTTCGTTCCTTGTTGCTGATTCACTCTCGTTTTTTTCTCTTTTGTTTTCTCATTCGAATCACAAACCGTTCGAAATTGCTGCGATCCGCGAAGAGGGCACTGTTTCGTGGAAGCGAGGTTATTTGGTTGCATTTCATAAGATATGATACAAGGCAAGCTCTTCCTATACATAGAAAGAGGGAACTAGTCGGAATCTTTTCACTTGATCAGTGGCTTTCAATATATTCGCTGTAGTCCCCAGTGTTTGGTAGGCTCTTCTTTATGTCTACTTTCATGATGATTCGTTTTCTCTTTAATGACCGTCTGTTCAAGAGTAATGATGGGTTCAAAGCGTTATAGTGTGACTTCATAGGCATCCCATCGTTAGTGGTTCGCATTTGCGCCTTAGCCTATGCATTGGTGATAGTTGTGACCAAATTGGCGTTTTCCAGGATGGTGAGCGGTGACAAAACAATGGTAAAGTGGAGGCATCAGTTGATTTCGAGAATATTTTCGTCTGTTCCGGGGGATTCATACTTCTTGTGAAGGGGCGGGGCAACCGCTATCTGTGCGCGTAAAGCGGTCGATTGCAAACGGAACGCATGCCCATAACGTTCGTGCGGTTGTGACGTTGAATCTTTCATAGTTTGTTCCAATTGAATCGACTACCCTATGCGTGAAAAAAATACTTACATGAATTTAAATACTTTTAAAGTCTCCACACGCATTTATGTTGCATGTACATGACGCATTTACAAAAATTTTAACGGTTTTTATACAGGTAAAGTTTATAGAAAGATAAGATCACCTTACCGAAAGTTATAGCCAAGTTTCTCACAGCAATTTAAAAATCTTTATTTTCATCTGAATAAATAAACATTTATAAGCATTGAAAAATATGGCTAATCATGTAATCTGACGATAGATGGCTGGCGTTCACCAGCTGAGCACAATTCAATCGAATTCCGTTTTAACGGTAATCGAGGCGAGTCGTAGAACGACGATGAAGCAAGGCTCTGAAATTTGTTTCACTTTTTTCGTGTTGTCCCAAACAAAAACGGCACCGTTCGATTTGGACCTTCTGAACTGACCTCAGCATCTATTGTGAGAATACGCTCGCGATCAACACTTTGCATTTCCTTAAGCGTTTCCTTGCTACAGCAATAGAAATACCATCTGAAAATGGAGAAATCCTTGAAGAATATCTCAAGCAGTGCTGTTGATGCAATGACCTTCGGCTCCTCATCATCTAAGGGATTAGCTGTTAAACCCACCGTGGCCCAGCGAAGGATTATGTCAATCAGGGTTGGCTGGCGGTTAGTAGGGCCTGATAGGTAGAGGTTGAGACAGGGATATGGGCGAGCTGTAGGGGACGAACCCTAGTGACCACTGGGAACTGCGCTAGCTGGTGGCAGGAGTCCCTTCGATGATTTACCAGCTGGAAGCTGCATCGAGTACTCCACGTAAACGCTGTTTGAGTGGTCCCTCTCTCTTTCTTGGGGCCTACGCTCTTTCGGCAGTCAATAGGTACCGATCTATACCTATATATTCTATGCGTTTTTCTTTTGATATTGGTGAGCTTGATGTGGTAGCGCGTGAATAGCCCCATATATCCGCCTTTGTTCACTGAACTACCGCTTTTGCCGTTCGTCATTCCTAATGGAATATATGCTTTTATGGCAGCGGTATTTGGAGTGAATGGTTTCACTAATGGAAACCACTGAGTAAATTACTGAGGTAGGTCGTTCTCATGAATGCTGCACGCCTGCAAACCCATAATTTCTCCATTTCGATGGGACCAGAATTGGAATTCAACTGAGGTAGATTTTTTGGATAGAAGGCTCCCTACTGCGGTATCAAATCGGGCCATCACAAAGTCGTGATGGTGTCTCAGCAGATTTCGGGCATTACTTTCGGTTTCCAGCCCGAAAAACTTGGTAATCTTGGCGTGGCTGTGGGAAAGCGACAGCAATGCTTCTCCCTGTCTCACTTAGTGTCAAGCCTGGCTCACCAACAACACTGGTTTCTCAGTACCGTCGATAAAATCGGCGTGGTGAGGATTTGTCAAGTTCACGAAATCAAATGCTATTTCCGAGAGAAGCTGCAAAATATGCATTGAAGCGAGCGGTCGCGAAGCGTTACAACGAAACCGTGCTGACATCTCTGAGGACAAGAGTTTTTTTTCACCGAATGACTTACAAAAACCAGAGACGTACCTGAAACAATGTTTCATGCCGCTGAACTCGTAGCAAGGTCTCCATTTTATGATAAAAACAACAGCTAACAGAAGAAGGGCAGGAATGCTGAAAAATAATATTTCAATTCCAATCAACATCATACCCCAAAGATATGGAACATCCCCAGACTTATCGATCCAGTTTTCGATGTCATAGTGTGAGGGTGGTAAAACCCATTTGGCACCACTTTACCTACGTTGTCTTACTGCCACATTCTGATCATTAAATTATTCTCTATACGCTACATGATGGAAACGACTAAAACGGTCTAAACGGTTATTGTATTCCCTTTCCTTTTTTTCCTTATTGGTTTATTCCCTTTCCAACAGCGATGCCTCGCTCCCTTATTTCAACTTGGAAGGCCTATGGCTTAATGGTCGATGCAAGCGACCACAGACCAATGATTTCAGTTTGCGGAAAATCCCTTTCGAATAACGTTTTTCAGAAAATGAAATAGATTTTATTGTGGGCTGTTCGTGAGGGAATTCGTTAAACAGCTTTTCCATAGCTTTTTGGAATTCTCACATGCCCATGGGGCTTCTCAAATATCATGTACGGGGATTGCAACAGCTTTTTTACGGTCAAAGACCAGGCTTCGGATTAAAAGCTTTCCCACAGAAGGGATTCGATTTTTTCACTCTGAGAAACATATTACTAAGCCTTCAATTTGGCTTTGAATCATCAAATTATACAAAATTATTGACAGGATGCATATGTGTAATCGTTCAATAGCATCATTGGAAATTGTCGGTATTATGAAGCATTATTATTATCATTACTAGTATTATGCCAGTTTTAATAGAATATAGGTAGAAATCAAACAATCAGTGTTTTAGCGAATAAACTTGTGGTTATATTTGTTTACATTTACTCAGTAAACTAGCCATTGTTGTAAGAAAAAGTAGAAAAGAGAAGTATAAAATTTTAAAGGCTGAAACCATTCAAGCGCGATAACATAAGGGGAATTTTGACCATCTTTCGGACGAGTGGGTCTCGAAGGAGAGTGATTTTGCGAAGGCATTGTTATACAAAAAACCAAAAAAAAAACGTTTTTAAAGGTATCATTTCCTGTTATGAGTACTTCTGAGGGTATGAAAATACTTTTAATTTCATACAGTAGATAAACTTATTCTTGAGTAAAACCTCTGGACCAGCTGAACACCTAGTAGCTGCCTTTTTTATAGAAACTAATTTCATTTTTATGACAGGGGTTTTGATCCAAAGCCTAATCATCGGTTGCATATGTTTTTCTCTTTCCATCTTTTTGAAAACAGTAGGCGTGGGATCAGGGCAAGATGAGCACTCACACGGCCATGTAAATTACAAACTGGTTGCGGATATTTGAATCGTATCCCCATTCTGACTTCGTAACATTTTTACCTGTATATGACTAGGATGCTGAGCGGTGCATGTTCGGGAGAAGCGGGATCTGAGATCAACGTAGGCGGCATCCATTCGAATCGCATATGGCATCAGTTGACTGGCATCACTCGATAATCGATTGATGACATATCAATTTCAAGAAAATTCTGAAACATGCAAAGCATCTGTACGGCACAGGCTTTTCAAGAGTGCGATCAATTCACGACGGTTTTCAATTACACAGATTTTAAAGCTTCATCTAGGTACGGCAAAGAAGGAGGCTGCTATTGCTTATTTATATTTGCCTACAAACTTATTTGTTTACTTACTCATTTATTTTTTTGACACTAATGCCATTCCGGACCTGCAAAGCAAAGTAGTCAATAAGTCATAAAGTAAAAGAATAATTTTAATAGAAAAACAAGATTTTTTAGGGAGGAAAGAAAGGACAAAAGACAGAGGCGATAGCGAAAGGAGGAGTTATCATCGGTTTGCTGAGTAGTAGCTGTGATATGTAGGTTCATGGTGAGGAGTGAGAAGCTAGAGGCGGGTTGACCTCTTAACGGAGGTGCCATGCATTTGACTTCCGTTCGAAATCACTTTGGGCTAGACCACGAGGTATAGGCTAACTTGTGTTAAATAAACGCTTTCTAGGTGCAGATGGGTTTGATACTGAGCAGAGAAGACTGAACAATAGGGGACCCGCATAGCAGGGCGGGACTTATTGCGAGATTTGATCCTCAAAACACACTTATGGCATCGGAGCCTACTACCCTACGTCGCGGGATCTCCTAACTCCGCCCTCAAGAAAAGAAATATGAAAACGCTTCGACTTTTCGATAAAAAATCCTCTCGGCAGAATAAGCCATAGTGGAACCAGCTTCCATGTCCACTCGCCCTCCCGATCCCCCAACTGTATTATCTCGTGGTCAGACCGTCGACTTTTTTACAGTGAATAAGATTACACGTGCAGAAGAATTGAGAGATTTTTTCATAAAGGCGGAGATAGATTACTCATGGGGGACCTCCAATGGCTCATTAACTATGCTGAGCAATTTACATGTCTCTTTTAGCATGTTCATTAGCATTTCCACGAGCGCTATCATAGTATTCTACTCAATGAAATAACCGATGTAACGTCATTAGTCACTAAAATTTCATTGAGAACAGGAGCAATCTGATGTTTTGGATAAAGCCTCTGACGGATGATTGTAAAGATAGGAATACGAACTCGCAGTCGTCTTGCCTAGCAGAGAAAGAGAACGAGGAAGAAAATTAAGAGATCCCACTCGACGGCATTACGATAGAAATGGTTGTTGAGTTGAACATGCTTGCAGAATTAATGAAATCCCTGGTGGTTCAAGACCTACCTGGGACTTAGCATCTTTGCTATAGCCGTTGAGCTGCAGCGATGGTAAGCAATTAACTACATACATCATATAAACAACCACGTATTTATGCGCGTAATTACTTATTCAAAATCATGGCTATATCTTTCTTTTACATTATAATTAATGCATTATTATGTGGCATTACAGACTACTTTATTATCAATGTTTATGATATTTATAATCATTTTGTTTTTTAAACCGAAGTAATATCAACCATGTTGCCACCGACAGAGTAATATGAATTTCGACGTTAAGTTGTCTGAGTTTTTTCAAAGGAATTCTGGTAGAATGGTTTCATTGCCTCAAATTCAACGGCCTTCAGATGAGAAATTCGTAACGATGAAATATAATTATTGGTTGAATACAGTTAACAATTCGATCAAATAAGTTTGAAAGCTCGAATCTGCGTTGCAGACCAGAAGTTGACTAAAACGTAAGGTGTGGAAGCGTCACACGCTGAATGAGAGCTTTCATGGCTGCTTGGCGACATCGACTAATGGCTTTGACACAAAAACTTGGGAGCTAAACGGTTCTTCTAGCTGGCGTGGGAACACATCGAAAATCGAGTGTATTGAGGTTAAAAAGGCGTCAACTTTTGGAAACATGGAAAAATGATTAGCCGAAGTCAAGTTTGCGAAAGATTTTCTCTCAGTAATGAAACTCCTCTCTCTTGTCAATGTTGCCAATGTACGCCAATGTTAATAGCAGCGATGAATCTTTTTAGAATGTGCCACACATCCGCATCCTCTCGAAAATTATGGGTGCGTTTGAATACATCTTAGGCTGGTCGACGAATTTCGCTGACCACGCGAGCTTTTGCCTCCCAGAGAGTGGCGCGCGTTTATCTAGAGTTACCTAACTCCACGCTTTTATTTGATTCCTGATTGGTGAAATGGCATCTACGGTCTCCTGAAAGACGCCTATAACGGAACCAGTCGTTCGAAGACCTATTCTTCGATGAGCCCATGGGTGGATAGCATCTCCGCCCACACTCCTCATTGGTAGATTACCCAACTATCTTTGTAATCACCTTATAGTCTAAGAACTATATTGACGAAATGGGTTCCTCACGATTATTTCTACCTTATTTATGTATATGTTCATGTCACTGTTCTATAAATGCAAATAAATTACAGAAGTAGTTGATAAGAAATTAAAAAGAAGGAAAGAGGAAGAACGAACGAACGGACAACCTTTAAACGAAGGAAAGAAAGAAAGAAAGAAAGAAAGAAAGAAAAAAGTAAGTAAGTAATTAAGTAAGTAAGTAAGGAACAAAAAGGAAGGAAGAAGGAAAGAAAGAAAAAAATGAGAGGAGCAATTAGGAAGAAGGAAGAAACAACCAAGGAATGAACGAATGAATGAGGAATGATTGAATGAAGAAGGAAAGAAAGAAAGAAGGAAAGAAGAAATCAAATGAAATCATTAAAGCTAACATATTTCGAATAGTGTGCTACAGAACTTGATTGCATGGCGTAACCTTAGCCCAAAATTAATCGCGGATAATATTCTCTACAGTTTTTCACAACGATAGAAGCTCAATTCTAATACGGGTTTGTTGTGGAACTATATAAAGTAACTCGAGTAGGCTAATTCTTATTCGGGTCATTAGAATTATTGGATTCGAATAATTTGAATCCTAAGTAAATGTTTTGTTTTCTGCAAGCTCTATGTATAGTAATAGTAACATCAATGAAAGAAATAGCGGAAATGGCCGAATGTCAGCCGTAGGGTAGAGTGGCGAATATGATATTACTGAGAAATGTCAACAAAGCCTGGAAATGAAGCAGTCAAGGTCACTATAGCTAATCGGAGAGTAGATGTGCTTATCAGAATCCTTCACAATCTTGTTCCCCTTTAGCCTGCCAATTTTACATGGAGTTTATCTTTCTCACCAGTACTGCCTATTCAGTTTTACTCAGAATATGAATCTTGCTGGCACCCAGTGAAAGGCGTGGCTTTTATTTAGGGGTGCCGGTGAGGTATGAAAACTCGACCACATTTCTCTACATTGAGAGCATTTTAAGAGGCGAAGTAGAATCATATTGAAGTTATTCTGAGGAACGACCAAATTGAAGGCTACTCCATTCGTAATAAGTTATTGTCGCTGGGATTCAGTTACCTTAATTTCAAAAAAAAAAAAAACTGAGGGAGGGAATGGCAAGAGACGCATCGGTAGGCATTATTTGAAGAGCGCTTGTACTAATAAGAGTGACCAAATTAAACTACAGTGGTATGATGAAAACTGGAATCGTGGGACACGGACAGCTCCAAAAAGAAAAGAAATAATCCTCTTCCATGATCTCAATTTTCCCTGTAGTGGATTAGAAAGGGTGCAGGATTATGCTCTGCAGAGCAGTGGATCAGAAAAATTGAAGAACATAAAATCACATCTTAGCATGACAAAGTAAAGGAACAAAAGAATAGAAGAAAACAGCTAGAAAACAGCGCCGAGAAAACGGGATCTTTGAGAGGTTTGAGCCTAAATGCCCGGTTATTTCAATAAACTCATCTTGTAGGAGTAAAGGAATGGAAAGCTATCGAAACAATCCGATTGTGAAAGGGAAAAGGTTGTCACGTGGACAGAAGAAAACCGAAACAAGTTCAATTATTCTAGTCGAAGATCAGCCGAAAAGGTGGCGAGGGTGTGACAGCTGCCACAACATCTATGCATATCATCCAATCTGACTCAATATATTGAGAGCAAGTGTAACATTGAGATGACTCGCTGCTCACAGCCCTTCCCTTAAGACGTTTATTTGTTTGTTTGTTTATTCTTTGTTTTATACTTGCTAGGTACGTCACATTGAGGAAGAAACATAGAAACAATTTATAGTAACAAAACGGCTTGAAGCCATTGAGGGGCTCGAGAGGTTCCTACTCTAACTTGGCGATACTTAATCAGAATGTTCATCAGGTGATTTGATAAGTTGATCTCATAAGGCTGCTCATGCCAAAACCGGAAGCAGACTTGGGAGAAGCTGCTCAGAGATCACGGCTATGGTCAGAGACAACAAATATGTGAGGAAGCGGGAAGGATGTTGGCTACACGCATGACAAGGCACTATGCTCAAGAGGCACAACAACATAATGGTTCCATTTGGTAGGCCAACTACATAGAAAACACTCCAAAGAAGTTGTGAGAGGAAATAAAAGATTTCGGCGAACGAAAAGAAAATATGACAAACATTGTCATCCCAGTTATGAGGCCTATTCGTTTGAAAACGAAGTATCTGAAGAAAATCACACAAACTTCTTCGAAGCATCCCATGACGACCACTCGTTTATTCGTGAGTCGTGCTGAAGGTTCACATTTGGTGGATGGATGGGAGTGCACACGTTTTTATCACTACGAGAGCTCGTACGCGGAGCTAGAACCTGTGGGACAATATTCTATGTTATTGATTTTTGATATGAATTTCCAACTTTCATTGAAATTGTAGTTCCCGAACGGGCGCATCATGAATCCAGCATTCAAGAGTCACGGGAAGCTAGATGAACTTGAGTTGGATCTCAGAAATGGCCCCTCTCCTTAAGGATTCAAGTTCAATTTTCGAGCAGAAGCATATAAAAGAGTTAGGGATGACGTCTCATGGGCAACATCGGGAACTGTATCGGGCTTTATTCTTCTCAAATTTCGGAGTAACCTCAAAGTGGTGGGAGTTGTCAATGCTGATTCCTGCTCTAGCGACAATATGAGTTCAGAAAAAAAGGAC